GGCCCAGGCTGCAAACTTGCATGACAAAGGTAGCCCACCCAGAACCAGCTGCAGTGCCTCGGGTAGGGTGGTCCACAAGCTGGACCGGGTCTCGGTTAGCAACGGGTCTCGTGCTGCTGTACTGGTCTTAACTCACCTTCGGGAGGACGCTGCTAAAACCTGTCTCGTGGGCCCTCTCTATCAGCTTCTGGTGATTAGTGTGCTCGCAGCAGTTGCTGAGGTCCCACAACGCAGCTCCTGAGTGGAGCGGCTCTCGGCAGATCACTCCGCGCTCCGCCCTGACTCTGGCGAAAAGCAATTTCGGTGATGACTCTGTCCCGCCTGGTAGGCGAGGAACTGACGACGGCGCTTTGCCTCCCATCGTCGGGCTTCGATTTGTTGGACCTTGGACCAAATTCTATACATCCCTGGCATCGCCCCAATCCCACGGAACTGGGCAGGAGCTTGTGGGCCGATGTTAGCTTTTTATCTTGGGGATCAGGACCCAGACAATCGCTTGCAACTGGGTGGGCACAGCACCTATCTTCTCGACGAGATGCTGAGCGCGACAAACTAGGCCGGCTCGTTCGAGCGCCAGGCGCTGGAAGTGCTTCGGGCGAAATCCGTCCCAAGTCGAGGCCGCTGCGTGCAGGAACCTTTCGGCTGCGTCAAGGAGGTCTTGGGGCTCGGTTAGGGAGAGTCGTGGCTCTCGTGGGCCTGGGGGCGCATGACATGAGGAGGAGGAGGAGGAGGAGGAGGAGGAGAAGCAGGGCGGGAGCAGGGAGCGCGGGGAAGGGCGGGAACGCCAGGAGGGGGCAGGGGAGGGGCAGGAGGGAGGACCACACTATCAACACGACGCTCGTGGACAGTCACTCGTCCCTGCACTGGAATTTCAGACCGTGGAAGCCCATGCCAAGAAACACCCTGCTTGTCTCCAGGGTGCCCTTGGGTTCTTGGGTGTCGACGGTCCTGCTATGGAAAGCGTGACGTCCCGCTACCAAACATGGATGGATGTCTTGTGGTCGGGGGTTCGGGTTTCTCGTGGAAGGTTTCTTGTGGCCGCGATTGTACAGGTCGGCCGTTGGAAGTACACATTTTCGGGCATCCAGATCCACATCTACCTTAGGCGCCTGCCTACTTCAAGAGTCGAGAGGTTGTCCCTGTTCCTTTGTTCTTGTTCTCCTTATACGCATTGTTACTCTAAGGGGCGGGCGGACACCCAACCTGTTTCCAACGCCGTCCTACACCGTGGCTCTACCTGCTTCGTTCGACCGACGGGCATGCTGATGGGGGAGATAGCCCAGCCGTGCGGGGCGGGTCTGCTCCAGTTCTGAAGACCAAGACCAGCAGCAGCAGCAGCAGCAGCAGCAGCAGCAGAGCGGCCAGCGGGAGCGGCTGCGTGCGAGTGAGAGTGACCAGTTCATGAAAGCTGTGCGTGAGAGTGACTGATGGGGGACGGGAAAGGAGGGGGCAATCCAGGTGCGTTCGCACCTCATCTGAGATTGCACCCCTCCCACCCATCCCTTCCCGATGCGCGGGTTCCTTCTCTATCCGCCGACGCGTGCCATGGCCCGCCTGGAATTCCAGACACCACCCCATCGTGTGATTCGCAATCGGAAAAATGGGGAGTTGCGGATATTGGAGGAGGAGGTGGCGGTTGAGCAGGAGAAGAAGGAGGATGACGAATAGGAGGAGGAGGAGGAGGAGGAGGAGGAGGAGGAGGAACATGAGTATAAGGAGGAAGGGGAAGGAAGGATGAGGAGGACGAACAGAAGCAGCAGCAGGAGCTAGATTGATTACACTAAGCAAGACGAGCAGGATGACCAAGAAGGTGGAGGAGTGGAAAAGTGGTGGGGGGGCGACCACAAGGAGGAAAGACTCGGATCCAGAAAGCAGTGGCCCGCGCTCGGGCGTGAGCGCCTTTTCTGAACGACGGGGGCACAACGCCGATCCTGAAATGCGACCACGACAGCAGGGGAACGCGACAGGTGCGATTCATATGGAGTAAGCGTGTTGACGAATTTGGATATTCGATTTGTACGCAGTGGCGGCTCCCTAATCGAGGCCAGCGGGTACAGGGCGTCCACGCAGACATCCCAGCCAGCCTCTACAAGCGCAGAAAGATTCTTCATCGTCGCTTGGATGGGCGCCCGGGTCATCATGTATACGAGCCGCCTGTCATTTCGTTGAAATGGCATGCGGGAACGTGCCGTTGAACATATCTGGGCTCAAACCAGTGTTTGAAAGGATCAGAGGCCATATGTTCAAGTTAATTGATGCCGAATGGCTTCCGTCGCCTGAGTCGGGGGATCGCATCTTATGGCACCGCCACGAGAACAATCGCATCACCGATGTTATTGTTAATCACATTATGGATGTAGGCATTGGCTGGCGGGAAGACGTCTCGCCAACACTGGAAGAGGTCAATGCGCTCGAAGCCAATCTTATCATTCATTTTGATTGGCGGACACGCTCAGGCTCCTGCTCCGCTGGGGTCTGGTTCGCAGAAAGGTGTTCTTGCGCGCCGGCCATCGCCACAGTTGCCCGATCGCTATGAGTGGCGTTTGCATTTATCCACCTATTTCGTTTTTCGTTGCAGATGTCATGGCCTTAGAGGGCGCGGGTGCCGTTGTTTCGATACCCTGGCTGATCCATCAGGGTTTCAAACCAGAGAACGGCAGCGTTCAGCACAGATTTCATCCTTCAACTCTTTCTAAGAGGCTGTCACGACGTGGTTAAGATGCGCCCGGAGAAAGAAGGACAAAAAACACGAAGGCGATTTGGAGGAAACACCCTGTTTCTGAATTCCTGCTGTAGGAAAACCAACACGTGGAACGGAACGATGACAATCATATTCCTATGGAGGAAGCGCTGAGGGGAGTGAAGGGAGGCAAACATTAGAGGGGGAAAGGGTGGAGGCAGGAAAGAGGGGAAGAGGGGAGAGGGGGATGGAGGGGAGGCAGCAAGGAATGCGGGGAACGAGGGGGGAAGGGACACGAAACTGGAGGTCGAACGTCTGGAGCAACAGAAGTGACGTAGACGTTGCCCCGTTTTGGGCCTCAGGGGGCCGTCTTCGGGCCTCGGGAACGTCAGCGCCACATGTTCAGTCAGACTGAAGCGCTGGCTCCAGCGGGAGGGGGTCGACAGTTGCGGGGCCGCGCAGTGGAGACACAGAAGCAGATGACGGGGGGCCAGGGCAAGGAATGGGGGATGGGCAACGCGGAGTCCACGGCGAGAGAGGCGACTTTTCGTACATGTTTATGCCTCCTGGGGGACTTACAACGCCTCCCCGGCCCCGATTGGACTTTCGGAACCCACTGGAGAACAGATTGGAGCGGTGGTCGGTCAGTCGGGCGGCGAGTGGGGGGATGCAGGGAGGGGCGGAGGAGAAAGCACGGTCCATGATATAGACATACCGTGCATGGCCTCGCCGCGGGTACGGATGTTCGCGACATGTCAGTGTGCGCACGTGTGTTGGCACGCAGCACGCTATGACGCCATCGCCTCTTGGGCAGATAAGCATGTTTGAAGTGTTGTTTCGAAGTGTGTGTGTGTGTGTGTTGGTATAGGCCGTTGGTCGTACCGAAATGGTGGTCCGTGTCACAGTCCTGAGGCAACCATCTAAGGAATTAGAGGGCGAGGAAGAAGAGAGGAGCAGGAGGATGCGGAGTCAGATGGTCGGGGGGGGATTGGGGAAGAGTGGGACGAGAATGAGGAAGCGACAGGAACAATAATAACATGATTGATGATACGGACGCAGGCAGCAGTAGGAACGGATACGGCAGGGGAGGAGGAATATAAGGTGCATACATATGAGGACGGTACAGAGGAGGAGGAGGAGGAGGAGGAGGAGGAGGAAAGGAATGCTAGCGAGTAGAATGAGGGCAATCATGGCCATGAAGACAAATATTGTATAATGGTGTGTACATCAAAGGCGGAAGCAGTGGGGGACGATGAACATGAGGCGGATACATCGGCTGCTGACTAGACGTGGGGTTCGCATGGTTTCTGGACGGGTTCGTGGGAACCGCTGGGGCTTCGTTTGGTAGTTGTATTGGGGTCTCTGGGGCCTCTTGGGAGCTTACGTGCAGCCTTTTGATCATCTTGGAAGGGCAGTGTCCTGAAGCTAATTCTGCCCTCTCTGCTCGGGCAGATCGTGTGGCTCTCCGTGGGTTCTCTCTAGCCGTCCAGAGAGGCCCTCTCGGAGCCACCGTGCGGGCCTCTCGGGCCGCCGTGAGCGCCCAGAAATTGGAAGAAGGCGAGCGCCCAAGAAAAGATCGCAGTCGATGGCTACAGTGGGGGCGCGCAGCAAGAAGCCATATGCTTTTCGTCAGGGTATCCTCGGTTTCTTTGCTCCTCGCGCTGCGCGGCGACTTCCCGCGGCCGTTGAACGAGCTGTTGCGTTCAGGGTGCTCCAGGTTTCCCCTCGGGTGCACCTCGCGCGCGGGTTCTCAGGGTTGGGTTTCTTGCGAGGGTTTCTTGCGGCCGCGCCCGCACTGCATTGGCCGAGGTCAATGAATTCGTAGTCACTGACTATTGGCCGTGGTGGCCCATTTTTGGGGTTGTCCTGGGGTCATCTGGGGCAATTTGGGGGCGACCGGGGGCGATGCAGCCTCGGGCACCATGATGAGCCCGCCGGCAGCGAGCCTGGGGCCCTCCGACACCAAGCCTGTTGGACCATGCTCCCGTGGGAGGGTTTCAGGGAAGGGCACCATCTCACACTCCGAGCAGACCCCAGTTCGGCGATGTTTTTTTCGTTTCCACAGGATGCCTGAGGCTTCCCGACGGACTGACCATTTAAATGCCAGCGGCTCTCCTCTTTTGCCTCCCGAGCCGTGTTCGGGTCTTGGGACCATGATAAAGCAATCATCGAAGATAAGGAGGGGACCGAGGCTTCCAGGGCCCGTGGACTCGATCCGCTGGTGGTCTCGGGCAGCCGCTGTCCATCCAGTACCCTCGTCACCGTTCTCCACCTCTGTCCGGAGAGGGGGCGCAGGGGACGAAGAGGGGGATGATCCGAGGTCTCTATTCGCCGCCTTCACTTATTCGAACGTGCTGTCCATCATCTGTGTGATCGCGCAACACCCATGGGGCACGAGCGTTAAGGCTTCCACTTTTACTACTCTCTCTCTCTCTCTTTCCCTCCCTCTCTCTCTCTCTCTCTCTCTCCCGCGTCCTTCCCCTCTCCTTCCTCCCATCCCCGCGGTTCCCATCCCTTCGCTCCTCCTCCCTGCTCCCCCTGACTGTCCCGTACCCTCCCCCACCACCACACCTTTCCTCGTGCCCCTCCTTTCTTTTGTTCGTTCTCAGCGTTCCTTTCTTTTGCTCTTTTGTTCGTTCTCTTTTTTTTTGTTCATTCTCCTCGTGTCCCTCCTTTCTTTTGTTCGTTCTCTCTGATTGCCATCCTGAAGGCAGCCGCTCTAGCGTCTCAACCCTCTGTCTCGGCGATGGTGGCGGCTGTTCGTGTGTTTTGGCGGCATCTTGGGCCATACTCAGGGCCTCTAATTGAGACCCCTATTGGGGTATTGGGGTTACTTCTGGGCTGTCGTTTGATATGTGTTTTGAGGGCCCCCTTCAGCCGTATTGAAGCATCCTTGGAGCCAACTATCAAGACCATTGGACAGCGACAACCCAATATATCTTTATATGTACATATATATATACATATATATATATGTGTGTAGGTGTATATCTATATACATATATTACATGGTTTCGAATGATGCGTGACTGCTGCAGCGTCGGGACTCAAGTCCACACACACAATCCTGACATATCATCGCCATCTGGGCGTGTCCTGGGGCTGTTTGTAGCCCTCTCGGGGTGTTCGTAGGTCGTCTCGTGGTCTTGCTGGGGCCGTATTGGGGCTTCCGGTGGCGCAGCTAGCGCTCCCGTGGGCAGAGCATCAGAGGAACAAGGCGTCACGATAATGGTAAGTTCCAAGATCTCCAGGGTTTCATGACGTCTAAGAGTTCCTTCTGTTCCGCGCGGGCTGGAGAAACGATGGCCGCTGGACACTAACTAACAGTTGGGATGCAGTATGAGCCAACCTCATCACGACACCATGCTCGTCCTACAGAGGTGCGGGACGCAGCAGCAACTTGACAGAGCCAGCAGGTTGTGATCTTTCGCTCCCGTCGGCTTCTCAGGGCCTTGTTGGAGCGCTTCTTCGGTGCCCCCCACAGGGCCTTCTCGAGGTCTGTCGGTCGACGGCGCGCCTGGGGGGGGAAGCGCGAAGGAGCAGGCCGTCTCAGAGGGCTGCGGCAAAGTTCTCAGAAGCCGTACGGCCTTCTGAGAACTTTGCTGCGTCTCCGGAGAAGGTTGAGAACCTGTCTCAGAACGCCGGGGGCCTTCCGAGCCTTCCGGCGAGGCCCGCCCGTTCTCACTTCCCCCCATGGGCTCGCTCGCTTCTGCCCCGGCTTTGGGTTAGGTTGGGCAAGGGCATAGGGGGCTGACGGCGAAGCGGGGGGAACCGCGTGCGCTCGGCCACTTCCAGGGCCTAAAGGAAAACAGGGCATAACGAAGAGGGGGGGGGCCCGCTCGCCGTCGGCGCCGAAAGCGGGGCCTCTCAGCGGGAGCATTTTGGGGCATCTGGAGGCTTACGGGACTGCCTCCGGCTGGTTCCCAGGCATCCTGCGGCCAGCTCGATCGAGGCGGCCCTGGCCCGTCTCAAGCTGGCCACCTGGAGGCCGCAGCGGGCGCCAGCGAGCGACGCCGAGGGCGATGCTCGGGGCGCCCCCTCCCTCCTCCTGCTCCTCCCTCCCTCCCTCCCTCCTCCTGCTCCCTCGCTCCCTCCCTCCTCCCTCCCTCCTCCCTCCCTCGCTCCCTCCCTCCTCCCTCCCTCCGTCCTCCTCCCTCCCTCCCTCCTCCTCCCTCCCTCCCTCCCTCCTCCCTGGCCCCCTCGCTTCTCGAGAACGGGGGGTTGTGGAGCCCCTCGGGGTTGAAGACGCGCGCGCGGGGCTGTCGCACTGGATTCGCGCGTGTGTCTTTCAATGCTCTGTGTGCTCTGTGGCGTCCTCTTCTCTCCCCCTCCTTCGTCCTCTCCTCCTCCTCGCCTCCTCCTCCTCCTCCTCCTCCTCCTCCTCCTCCCTCCTCCCTCCTCCCTCCTCCTCCTCCTCCTCGTCCTCCTAAACAGAATCAATGCAGGTTTTTCGGTTTTTGGTGTGCCCCCCTCCCCCCCTCAAACAAATAACAAAACAACTGGGACTTTGTTTAGGGGGGGCAGAGGAAATTCCTCTCCCTCCTCTCCTCCTCCCTCCTCCTCCTCCTCCTCCTCTCCTCCTCTCCTCCTCCTCCTCCTCCTCCTCCTCCTCCTCCTCCTCCTCCTCCTCCTCCTCCTCCTCCTCCCCCCCCCTCCTCCCCCTATAAAGAATCAATGCAGGTTTTTCGGTGTTTGGTGTGCCTCCCTCCCCCCCAACAAACATCACCAAACAACTGGGCGTGTTTGTTTTGGGGGTGCAGAGGAAATTCCTCTCCCTCCTCCCCCTCCTTCTCCTCCTCCTCCTTCTTTCCCCCAGAATAAAGATGCTTGCTATTGAGATGCTTCGAAAGAAAGAAATACCCCGCTTGGCATTGCATTGGCATTGGTTTGGCCATTGTTTGACATCGCATTGGCACTGCGTTGGCATAGCACTTGCCAGTGCGTTGGCATTGTGCTTGCATGTCGCAAGTCTTGCGCTGGTGGGTCCTAATGGAACCCTCCAGAGGGTGACTCATATTGAAACCCTCTACCATAAGGATTCCTATTGAAACCCTCCACAAAAAGGGCTCATACATATTGAAACCCTGCACAGTAGGATTACATGCGAAGCCCTCCACACAAAAGAAACGACTCCTATTGACATCGACAACACATGCTTTCCCCCTTCGGTATTGCATTGGAGGCGATCACGGCGAGCAGAAACGAGATAACGATATGACGAGAGAAGCATATTATGAGGGGATCACGGCGAGCAGAAACATGGCAAACAACATAAAATCTTATAAAGCTGAAAGAGCATCCCACTCGATAAAAACAAGATCAAAACGACGAGGGGCTCCACAATCCCCCGGCCTCGAGAACTCCTCCCTCTCCCCCTCGTCCTCCTCCTCATCTTCTCCTCCTTCTCCTCCTCCTCCTCCTCCTCGTTCTGCGCAGGGGAGCGCCGTGAAAGCTAAAGCTCAAAGGTTGGATTGTACCGAAACCGCGACCCTTCTCGTTTCCCCCCTTTGGGGCCTCCTGGGAGGCCCTCGTTGCTACGGCTGGATTCGCCTCGGAATCCTGGTCAGGGCGCTCCCCAGGAGAGGTCCAGGGGAGGGGGGGTATGGGTACCCCCCCTGGTGTCCTTTGTAGAAAGCCTGCCAGACGCCCAGCGGGCATTCTGGCGCAGCCCGACGAGTTGGTGGCAAGGCGGCGGACCAGGAGTTCGATGGTGTGTTGTGTTTTTGTTTTTTTTGTTTTTTGTTGTGTGTGTGTGTTTTGTTTCCCCCCCACTGTGTGTGATTTTGTTTTTTTTTGTGTGTGTGTGTGTGTGTTTTGTTTGTTTCCCCCCCACGGGCGCGAGTTTGAAAGAGCGCCGTTTCCCGCCCGCGCACCCCTCGGAGTCCGCGCCGGACGGCTCCGCCTGCGAGGCGGCAGCCAGCGGCCGGCCAGATGCCCAGAGCCCGCCCGGCCAGCACGCCGGATGGTGTTGCGGAGGCGAGCTCGTCCGCAAGAAGCAGGGCGGGCACAAGTCGGCAGCGACAGGGGAGAGGGAGGGGGAGGAGGAGGAGGAGGAGGAGGAGGAGGAGGAGGAGGAGGAGGAGGAGGAGGAGGATCCTGGCCACCCTCATGTGGTACAAGTAGGCGGGGTCAGAGGATGGCGCCGCATCGCCGTTGCATCGCATCGCCGGTGCGGCTCGATGTGGAGCCTGTGCTCCCTCCCGCCGACGGCGCCGATGTGCCGCCGACTTCGGCGAGGCGTCGCCGACGCATCGGCAGCGCACCGGCAGTGCTGCCAGATGGTCCCGCACTCCAGCTGCCTGGGACCCCAGAGTAGAGGCGAGGAGAGGCGAGGAGAGGCGGGGGAAGCGGAGAGCGGCCAGAGCTGGAGCCCCTGCGCCCGGGCGAGCAGGTCATCTGGTGGGCCGGCGGCCACATCAGCGAGGCCATCGAGGGCGCCCACACCGCGCTGGCCAGGCGTGCCCAGCGCCCTCTCTAGAATGGGGGATCGACCACAGAGCTGGCTTCACTCCAAGGTCGACGTTCCCGCCGAGTGTACAGGGAGCGCGTAGGCTGTCCGCAGATCTGCGGGACATGGTACGCGTCTGTTGCAGATTTGGCGGGGAAGTCAAGCTCAATTTGGTAGTCGATCCCCTGCGCGGCTCTCCTCGGACACGACGGAGGGCCAGCGCACGACCTCGCGTGTCGCGTGGCGCCGAGCACGGGCAGCACTCCGAACCAGCAGCATGGTTCCTGCGGATGATGGGGGGGGTCTCGAGGGCGCGCGTGCGTCCTTCGCCTGACGCCCTTGCTTCCTTCTCCTCCTGCCTCCTGCTCGCCCCCTCCTCGGACTGAGTCGGCAAGCTTCGAACGTCTGCTCGCTCGCCACCGCTTTCCAAGTCCAGCCGCAGCTGCGCTCCGGCGGGCCATCCGTGCGGGCAGCAAAGGGCCGCTGGGCTCAGCTCCGGTGCAGCCGGGCCGCGCGCTCCGAGGCTCGGACCCATCCGCGCCCACCGCCCGGGGCATCGGCTCTCCCCGGACCTCGAGAGGCAGTGGTCACGGACCTGCCCTGACCTTCCAAAAGGGCAAAAAAATAGCACGCGACTTAAAAACCTATCCCAAAGCTATTCTACGTCTTGGTTTTAGGCTGTTTCGCTTATTTTGTTAGGTTCGTAGGTCTCCAGTGCTAAACAATAGCTCTCTGGAAGGTCAGGGTGATGTGGCCCCCTGGGGCCTCACCTCCGCCCATGCCCACTGCCGCCCCCATGGGGGGTGCCCTGCCCAGCGGCCTCGCGGCAGGCAGCCTGGTGCGCTCCCCGCCCCGCGCGCACTGCCCGCGGCGCTGCGGGCGAGCCACGCGTGGGCGCTGGGGCGCTGGGCAAAGGGAGCCTCCCTCGCCCCCGGCCCCGCCCCGCCGCAGGCACGCCTCGCCCCGCCGCCCGGCCGCGAGCGTCGGGCGTCCGCAGAGGTCGACTTCGCCCCAGGTCGAGCGTCGTCAAGGGTGGAAAAACCACGACGACGACGAGGACGACGACGACGACGACGACGACGACGACGACGACGACGACAACGACGGCGACCCCGACAATTCGCGTTCACTGAACAGCCCTGGGCGTTTCCTACACAGCCCTGCCCTGTTCGATTCCTTCCACGGGTGCGTTCACTGAACGGCTTCGCCTGTCGGGGTGCTTACTATGGGGGTGGATTTTCTGCTCCCTACGTCGGGCGCCCGGGAGCCGAGCTTTCCGCCCTCCAGGGGCAGCGCATGTAGGAACGACAAGTGGCACAAACATAAACACTCGGAGGTCCGCGCGGACTTCGTGGATCCGCGCTGGGCCCCCTGGCGGCACCGCCGGCGCCGCCCCGGGCGCGCTCCGCGCGCCAGGGAGGGGGGTTCCAGCGCGGATTCGAGGAATCCGCGCGGACCTCTGAGTGTTTATGTTTATGCCATTCTTCGTTGCCCTAAAAAATGAATTCGCCCAGGAGCTGAGCTTTCCTTCATCCAGGGGCAGTGCAGAGCGCTTGCCCTGCCCCCTCGCTCCGAACAGTCGAACGTTGGGGGCGGACGGGGGCGCACGCTGTGGGGCGATGCTCTCCCGTGCCTTCCTGCATGCCCCTCGTCGGCAATTCGTTTGCTCGGATCCCCCGGCTCCACTGTTCTGATCTTGCTCGGGGCCGAGCTGAGAGGAGGGATGACCGCGGCGCCAGACACGGCGACGTCAGACACCGCGTCGCGGCTTCTGGCCTCGCGGCCTCTCTGGCGCTGCGGCCCTCCGCCCCGCGGCTTCCGCCGTCGCGCTGTTCCGGCGTCGTTACGCCAGCGCCGCGGCTGCCGGCGGCGCGCTTCGGGCGTCGCGGCGCCAGCGGCGCGGTTCCTGGCGTTGCGCTTTCTGGTGTCGCGGCCTCGCGTCGCTGAGGAGGAGCGCTGACCAGGCACGCCCAGGATGCGGCTACATCGCTCCAGAGCGATCCGGAACTCTCTGAGACGCCCGCGTTCAGGCCCCCGGAGACCAGGACACAGATAAACCAGGACACGGAAACCCAAGGAAACGACACCCTTTCCTGTAAAGTCACGTTTTTCAGCACCCGTGCATGTTTTGTTTGCTGCACTGCAGGATTCGGGTTTGTGTCCGGGTTTAGGGGTGTCTTGCAGGCTTTTGGGGCCTGTGTCCGGGTTTATTCTGGAAGTGTTGCAGTGCAGTATTTTGTCCGTGCCGCCGCTTGGAACAATTGTTTTCGAGGGGTGTTGGGTGTCCAGGTGTAGCGTGTCTGGGTCTACGCGGCCCTGACGCGTCGCCTCACGCATCCCTCAGATTTGGCCGCTCACAGGGATTCTCGATGTATCGTCCTCCGGCTGTATCCTTTCGGAATTCCGCGCGGTTGGCTTGGAGCGGTGCTGCTGGACCCCGCAGGGGGCGCTTCCCGCGCCGATCCAAGAGATCCGCGCGGACCTCCGTAGGTTTCTCAGGAGGGAAAGAAACACACAGACACAATGAATCGGCGATCCCCCAGAAAATATGGGAAAATATGGGAAGTGGGGGGGAATACAAAAACACAGGAAATGTGGGAAAATATGGGGAATGTTTTTATTAGTGTGTATTTATTTGTGTGTCCTTGGCCCCCTTGAGTTTTATGCCTGTACAGCTTCCGCTCCTTCTACGGGCGAGAGGGTGATCAGGGGGGCGGGGCGCCAGAGTCGGGCTAGCGGGCTCGACGAGGAAGGCGGCCCAAGAGGCCCAGCGCAGTGTGCACTGGTTGCAGGGCGGAGAGGTGGGCGACGTTTTTCTGGGGGTCGGATGAGCCCGACGTATGATGTACCTATATATATATATGTATGTATGTACACATAAACATATACATATACATATTATATATACAATTACATAAACATATACATATGCAAATGCATGTACGTTTACATTTACATACATGTACTCATACATGTACACTTATAGTTCGATATACATATTTATATACATGTATATATATATATATCCATATGCATATACACATGTACAGCACCCCGCAGTTGCGGATAAGAGTGAGGGGGCCGGGCGCGGAGTTGGTCGCGGGTGGGTAACAGTGGGTCGCGTGTGGGTCGTGGGGTGGGTCGCGGGTGAGTCGCGGGTGGGTCGCGTGGGTCGCGGGCGGGTCGCGAATGAGACGACGACGACAACAATTACAACGCAACAGCAGCAACAGCAGCAGCAACAACACCACCAACCAACAATCACACTCTGGTTATGATTGTTCGTTTCGATTTGCTCGTGTGGCAGTCAACACGTCTACCCCAAACCCTCGGTGCCGCCCTCTTCGTCTTCGATCACCCCCCCCTGGGGGGGATATCTTCCTCACCTGCCACGTGCATGTAGTGAAGCCTCTAAAACCTGGGAAGAGAGGACGGATGGAAGGAGGAGGGAGAAGGATGGAGCACGAGATAAAGTAGCAGGAGGGGGGCTAGGAGCAGAAGACACGTGGCAGAACAAGACGGGCAAACTGGGTGGGCAGACCCTAGCGGGCGGGTCGGGGCGGCCAGGTCGAGCAGGCGGGTTTTTGAAGAGTGAGTCCTGGATGAATCGCGAGGAAGGCTCGAGCGATAGCGCGATGCCCAAGTAAATCGTGAGAACAACTGAAGCGAGAGCGTGATTCCTGAGTTTCGAATGCGCGGTGCATGAATACATTGGAAGGAAGTCCCTGGCGAGAGCGCGCTTCCTGCATTAATTATGAGAAAGTCCTGCGCGAGAGCGCGATGTTGGAAGAACTTGTGAGGAAGTATCAGGCGGGAGCCGTTGTTGGTGCAAACCGGGTTCCAACAACACAGCTTGGTGACTTTCCCCTTTAAGAAAAAAAATGGGTGCGAGCCCCAGGAGGAGCATCTACTTGATACATTATGGGGATCAACAACAAGAGTTCTTCCGAAATAAGAGTTCGATCCGCACCGCGGAGACCCACTTCGGCCACGCACCTTGGGACAGTGAATGACCGCTCGGCCACTTCGCTCCGACATTGCGTACGCTGCGACGGCCAGGGACCGAATACGTTCGTCAAGCAGTGGCGAAGCGTCCTGGCTCGCCTATAGGCCCACCAGAGAATGTTGTAAGAACCTTTTGTGGTCTGGACGAAATGTTCTTGGAACACTTCTGGCTGCGACTGCTTTGTTTTAACACATCCGGTCGATGTTCTAAGAACATTGTTTTGGTAATTCGAAGATTGTTGGGTTCTAAGACATTGTCGTGGTAGGCCTAAACGAGTGCCGGAACGGTCGGTCCCTGCTCAAGTTCGGCGAAGGGTTTTCGGTGTGCGTCCCACACTGGGCGGCGCGGGAGCCCGATGCCGCGAGGCGCTGCGGCGGCGCCTCGCGGCGCGCCGGACTGCTTCGGCTGCGTTTTGTCCCCCCCCGTCCAGACCGGGGAGGGCCCCCCTCTTCGATGCACGTTTTGGGGGCCTTCCTGGGACCAACCTGACGGACCTGCTCGACTCAGACTCGACTCAGGTTCGTCTCAGGTTCTACTCAGGTTCGACTCAGGTTCGACGCAGGTTCGACTCAGGTTCGACGCAGGTTCGACTCAGGTTCGACTCAGGTTGGACGCAGGTTCGACGCAGCTTCGACGCACGAGTGGAACGAGTGGCTGCAGGAAGGTCCCCAGAATGAGCATCTGACCTCCCTCCTCCCCCTCATCCTCCTCCTCCTCCTCCTCCTCCTCCTCCTCCTCCTCCTCCCCCTCGTTCGAGTCTTTGCCACAGGGCGCTCTGCGGATGGTAAGAGACAGTGCGTCCCACAGCTAGGGCAGCTCGGGCACCTGCACACCAAGCCAGGTACAGTGCACACATCGAGCCCATCCTAGGGTTGCGCTCGGGGGCCCAGGCTCTCGGACGTGGGAACTGCTTGCGGCCTGCGAGGGCGCCTCTCGTGGCCACGGCCCGATGTCCCCCCAACGTTCTCGCCAGAGCGTTCCCCTGGTTCGGTCCTGGGGTCGATCTCGAGGAGGAGGACCCGGTGCCAGACATGGGGGCGTGGGCGAACTCGATCAAATGCGCCAGAGGTGTTTCGTGATCCGTGTTGCCTCGTGATGCCATTTCGGGATCCTGGGACCGTCAAGAACGGTTCAGGACGAGAAGCCGCTCCCAGGGAGGAGGATTTGGTCCAGGGGCCAGGGATTCGGGCAAAAATCTGTCGCCGGAGGTAAGGGGACATGGGGTTGGGGGAGGTCGAGGCCGAGGAAGTCGAACATCAGCAGGTCCAGGAGCAGGATTCTTCTCCCCTTATCCCCCTGATCCTGCCACCTCTTCGGCTTCTCCCCCCGCACGTCCCTCCCACCCACTTCGGGAACTGATCTTCCGGCACCTCGGAAGGCAGCGGATACGTCGTCGGCGCAGGGTGACCTTCTGCGACGGCCACTGCCTTCTCAGAAGCCCACCTGCCTTCTTAGAAGTCTACCCCCTTGCGCGCGCCACCCCCTTGTTCGCGCACGTGTTTCGGGATGCAACTCCTGGGAGGTCAAATTCTGACTCTCCCCTGGTTCGATATCCGGCGCAATCCGGCCGAATCCCGCTCAATCCAGCTTCATCCCGCTTGATCCGCGGCCCAGTTCTGCGCAGCAGCCCTCCAGCGGGGCCCAACTCTCCCTATAGTCCTTCCGACGAAGACCTCCCAGCCTCCCGACGAAGACCTTCCGACGAAGACCTCCTTCCGACGAAGGCCTCCCAGTGTTCGGGCCCGAGGGAGCCCAGGACTCGGGTCGGGCGAAAGGGGGGGATTGGGAAAGGGGGGGGTACGAAATTTGATGCATGCAGCTGGTTTCGGCCTCACCGGGGGGCCCATTCCTCGATACATAGCCGCCTCCGGCGCCGGGAGGCGCTGGGAAAATCAGCTACGTGAGCTGATTCTCAAACCCCCCCTTTGCTATCCCCCTCCTTTCGCCCGACCCGGAGGACGCGTCCCCGGCTGCCAGGGCCCGTCCCGGTCCGAGCGGTCTCTAGTCCATGTCTCGGCTCTGGCCTGCCCGGTCTGACGCGAGGCCGACGTGCCGGCGGTCCGGCGCGGAGCGGTGCCTGCACGTGTCGGGAGCCTCGAGCCGGGGGTCAGTGCAAAGGGGGGTCAGCCAGAGCGCTGGATCTTGCAGGACCCTGCAGGGACACTTGGCATCGCTCGGACGTGTGCATTGTTCCTTCGGCGAGGACCATCGAGGAGCATCCTTGATCATTTGCCGAAAAAACAACGCACGAAACCGAAAAAAACACAGGGACTGGACGTCCGAGCGATGGCGAGGGACAGGGTCGCATTGGCCCAGGTTTGGGTGCAGGATCCTGCAGGATCTTGCAGGATCATTCGCGTTGACCCGGGTTTGGGTGCAGGATCTTGAAGGAGTTGCAGGATTCTGCAAGGTCTGACTGGCCTGGGTTTGGATTGACCCGGGTCAGGAGATCCCCGAATGGGCGTCGTTATGGTAAGTTGGGCCTGTCCCTCTACAGGAGGGATGCTCAAAAACAGTCCCAACATCGTGCACGCAGAATCTTGTATACTATGTTCGACTATTGTCGAATACTTCTTTGTATGTTTCGTTTGTCGTCCAAAATCTGCCTGTATGGGGACATGCCTTTCCTGATCGTTGTGCATCCTGGCGCGGCCGAACCGAGATTCGGTTTCGACTCCGTGCCGATGCGGCCCGACTCGATGCGCCCTCCGATCCGATCCGAGTTCCCGATTCGGTGTTGAGAGAACCGCGTGTTTTTGGAGCCGGATCCGGCTTAAAACAACAGCGTGTTTTGGTGGCCGGATCCAGCTTCAAAATCACGCAGTTCTCTCAAACAAATGCGTGTTTGCTAAGCCGGATCAGCCTTCAAAAACACGCGGTTCTCTCGGTCCGGGCTCGTGGTCCCGGGAGTTCGGTGCCCTACAGCGGCGGGCGTGGACGCATGCTGGCCCCGGGTTCTCCCCCTCCCTCGGACAGGCCGCCGCTGCAGAAGCTGTCCGCCAAGGGGGTCGAAGTCTCGGCGAGCTACATCGTCAAGGGGCTGATGGCGCGCCCCCCCCCCTCTGGAGGGCAAGGGACGAGTGGGCTTCGGAGTGCGAAGATCGAGGTGTTCCGGCGTTGTCCCAGGTTCCCAGGACCTTCGCCCCCCCGGACTCTTTCCCGCAGCTGCGCTTCGACGAGGGTGCTCCAGGGGTACCCAGATCGCTCCCAATGGCCGCCAGAGAACCCGGGCTGTGGCCCGAACGCGAGACCTCCTCTCGTTGTAGAAGAAGTGACGACGGAGGCCTCTGGGCCGTTTCCGGCCTCGGGGGGAGCATTCGGAAGCTTGGGGGGGAGGTCCAAGAGTGGGGTGAAGTGATGACCAGGGCGTAGATAGGATATCATTGCCAGGGCCACGAAGGCTCCCAGATATCATGGCCCCTTCTTCTCATTGTTGATATGTTTCGTATTCGCCTTTTTTGTATGATCATCAGTGTTTTCATTCGTAGTGTTCTTAGTGTTACCAGGAATTTGATTAGTAGTAGCAAGCATGTTAGTGTATGATTCGTCGACTCTTACGCTTTAGTAGTATTCATACGATGAGCCTCCGCATCATGAGTCTACTATGTCTGATTCCCCCTCGTCGTCTTGTTCTCCTTATGTTTATTATCCATTCTTCGTGTTACCACGATGCATCTGAATCGTATGCGTCGCCGTCTTCTTCGTTTCCGTACTCGCCTCCGTGTTCTTTCGCCCGGGGCCATGATGCGCACCTCCTCCCGTTTCTCGGCCTTGTTTGAGCTTGTTTTTCTTTATATCCAGGCAAGCTTATTTGCATGGCGTTCTCCCCCCCCCCCCTCCCCGCCCCCCCTCGCTCCTCTTCAATCGAACACGAGCGTGCAAGTGTCTTTCGACTTGTGTGATTCCCGCACGTCGAATTGTTTTCGGCTGGCTTCAGACTCAGCCCCCCTCCCCCCCGTCCATGCAAGTAAACTTGCCCGGATCCCCCCAAAAAACAGGCTCTTTCCCCCCTCTCCGGCGCCCTGGTCGCCGGGCGGCCCCACGCCGAAGTCGAGCCCGTCTCGGCAGGAGCTCGGGCCGGGTCGGACGACGCGGGGGAATTGTCGGGGCGCTTTTGCGGTCGGACCGAGGCAGGAGATCGAGTCGGGCCGAACGACAGGGGGGGACAGGGAGAGGGGGGCTTACGACATCTGCTGCGTGCATGCGAGTTTCGGCCCCGCCGCCGGGCCCATTCCTCGACATGTGGGCGCCTCCTCGGCACAGGGGGGGGGTTGAGAAGCAGCTACGCGAGCTGATTCTCAAACCCCCCCCCCTTTGCTGTCCCCCCCTTTCGCCCGGCGCGATCGAGGTCGGTTCGGGCAGGGTACCTTACGGTGGAGGCATTCTAGAAGGAACTTTTGTTTCCAGGCGGTAGCCTCGGACATGCTTTCTGCTTCGAGGATTGGCGGGCGCAGTTCAGGGTCCAAGGAAATTTCTTGAGTCGTGAAGGGCACAAAACCTGCGGTCCAGGGTCTCGACTGTTCCTTGACACAAACTAAGGAACTCTGCCGATTCGAGCCTCCGCGTTCCTGAACAATGGCATCCTCATGTCAAACCTCCGTGTCTGCTGAATGTTCTAGTACATCCTGCGGAGGGTACCCTTGGCTGTTCTTGAGGGATGCCCTCCTATTCTTGAGGGATGCTCTCCTGTTCTTGGTACCCCTGGCTTTGGCTTGGGGAGGGGCTCCTGTTCTTGAGGGGCGCTCTCCTGGCCCAGGTCCGGCTGCAGCGGGATCGAGGAACATCCTTGATCATTTGGCGAAAAAGCCACGCACGAAAACGAATCAGCACAGGGAATGGACGTCCGAGCGATGGCGAGGGGGGGCAGGGGGAGGGGGAGGGCTTCTTAGAAGCACCCCTGCTTCTCAGAAGGCGCGGGCCTTCTCTGTAGGTGCAAGGCTGGCGCCTTCTCAGAAGCAGCCTCCTTCCAAGAAGCCCTCCCCCCTCCCCCTACCCCCTTGCGCGCGCCGCCGAGAAGTGGGCCGGGAGGCGTGCGGCGCCTGCTGCGCGCGGCTCACCTCGGGCCCCCCACAGATCCGATGTCGTGATTTTTTCAGCACGTGGGCCCCAGAAGTCTCGGCCCATTCCCCAGGACCTGTTTCTCATCCTGAGTCATTTTTGACGGTCCCGGGGCCCGGCGAGGGCCCCTCGAGGCCGAACAAAAACGAAACACCTCCGTCTTGCTTTTTTCCATGCGTTGGATCTCTGGGCCCGCCGCTTCGGCGCCTGCCTCCCTCGGCGCCTCCGGCGCCGGGAGGCGCCCTGGAGGTCAGCTCTGCCAGCGGACGCCTGCACGTCCCCCCGTCGCCGGCCTCGGCGGCGCGCCCTGGGGGGGGGGGAGCGCAGAGGGGGCGGCCTGCCGACGAGGCGGCGGGCTGTCTCAGAAGCCCCCGCGTGTTCGGACCATGCCGTGTGTGGCCGCCTGTGGCCCCGCGCCCCCCGGCCGCCTGAGGCCGACCCGCCCGCGCCCTGTCTCCCCAATGAGTGCTTTGCGCGGCCCGCCTATAGCTCTGAACCGGAAGAGGCTCGCTCTCGGCCCGCACGCCAAGAAGTGTGGCCGCCTGTTGCTTCGACGGGTCGGGGCGGTCGGAGTGGGTGCGGAAAGAATGGGTACGAAGACCGACAGCAGGTCCCGTCCATTGTGAGCAGGACTCGCTGTCCCTCGAAGACACAAGGCCGCCCGCCCCACAGCGGCCGCTGTCGGTTCTGGACAGAATGTGCTGTTGGGCATTGTGCCCATGCTCTTTGTGCCCAGTTCGGGCGTCCAGGGAGGAGGCCCACCGGGCTTTTCGCAAGGTTCCGAGCCCAGACATCCGACGTCTCGATTTTTCTAGACGCGGGCCCCCGACCTCTCGACCACTTCCCCAGGGCCGTTTTTTCATCCCGAGTCGTTTTTTGACGGTCCCGAGGCCCGGCGAGGGCCGCGAGAGGCCAAGAACTATGAAACACCTCTGTCTCGATTTTTTCGAGACGCCCGAGGTCTGGGAGGGAAGCCCCGCCGCCTCCCGGGAAGGCTGGCGCCCTCTCCTCGCCTCCCGCCTCCGCTCGCCGCCGAGCATGCCGACCAGGGGCTCGGCATCGCTCGGACGTGTGCGTTCTTTCCTCGGCGAGGACCATCGAGGAGCATCCTCGATCATTTGGCGACAAAACCACGCACGAAACCGACAAAAAGCACAGGAAGTGGACGTCCGAGCGATGGCCAGTGAGCATTCCGACCAGGGGCGACCTTGCGTCGAAGGGGGCCCTTGCTGCGGGCCCGCGGGGGCCCCCCCGATCGCCGACCGCGAGACAACCGGAGGTGCACGGACCTCCGACCCTGACACTTCCCAGCCTGGAACATCTCCCTATCCCCATGTTCGACATCACCTCACCTCGATGCCGATCTTAAGGATTCCCTCAGTTTTTGAGGGCCTATCCCTAAGATTGTCCTCGCTTTTTGCTCGCCCATCTTAGGGATAGGGATACGTTCGAGGCTGGTTAGACACGCCGATTCGCGAGTTGGCCGTTTTCGGGTCGCGAGAGGGCGTCGCGGCCGCCATTGCTGCGGGCCCAGGTCCGTCGGTTTCGGTCCCAGGCCCTTTTCACTAAAGGGAGGTTTACTGAAGGGAGGTTTGTCCACCGCCGACCGTTGGGGCCCCCCCGATCGCCGGCCGCGACAAGGCATAGCGTCTTGCGCGCTTGTGTGTTGGTCCCCCCAGCGGCTCCCCGAGAGCCTCGCACCGAGGTCACTCTTGTCTGGAGTCGCTCTTGAGTGTAGCCTGCGGGCAATAGTTGTATCCACATCCAGTGCGTCTTCGAGTCTTGGGCTCTCTTCCCCAGAAACCGTAAACGCACTGGATATGGACAAAAATCTGGCCCCAAGAGGCTTGATTTTATCCATATCCAGTGCGCCTCGGCGTTGCGGCACCTCTTCCTAACAAGTCCAAGACGCTCTGGACATGGATATAAGTATTGCCCGCGTAGCCGATAGCTCCCTCTCGCTCGACCTGGTCGTCGGGGTTCCTCCTGGGTCCCTCCTTGGGGTCTCCTCCGGCTCTCCTTAAGGGGTCTCCTCCGGCGCTCTGGCGGCAGCCGGGCGCAGCCAGGTGGGGTCAAGACGGGGCCCCGTGCCCGATGCAGCTTCCGGCTCTGCGCTGCCGGGGGAACGCAGCAGGCAGGAGCGGTGGCGGGAGCTGGCTTCGGGAGCGAGATGGGCTGCAGGCGGGAGCAGCGACCCCTGACCTTCCAGAGAGCTATGCGTTAGCACCAGAGGCCTAAAACCCTAAAAAAAAACGGAGCGAAACCGCCTAAAACCAAGACGTAGAATAGCCTTGGGATAGGTTTTTAAATCGCGTGCTATTGTTGTAGCCCTCTTGGAAGGTCGGACGGGGGGAGACCGATGGGGAGGAGCGGGGATCGGGGAGGCCTGGGCTCCTCGGGCACCCTCGTGGCCTCCGCGGGATCGGCCTCGGGATTTCCGCCAGAGGACACGTCCCATGGCCGGTCTGGGGGCCGATCTCGGGGAGGAGGAGGAGGAGGAGGAGGAGGAGGAGGAGGAGGAGGAGGAGGAGGGCCCAGACCTCCAGGGAAGGGATACGGGAAACTCAAGATCGACATATTTACACATTGTATATATATATATATATACATATCAGGAGGGAAAAAACACACAGACACAATGAATTGTCTATTCCCCAGAAAAAATGAAAATATGGGAAGTGCGGGGGCAGACAAAAGCCAATATGGGGAAATATGGGGAATAGTTTTATCTGCGTGTATTTATTTGTGTGTCCTGGGGCCCCTTCAATACATGCACATACGCGGCGAGCCTCACCACTCGGCCAGCGCAACCTTGGCCTGTCCCGGAAAGGGTCGGTCTACTGTTGAGTCGCTACAGAGGCCTTCTAAGAAGAACTGGCTTCGATTCTGTTTTGCTGCGTCGTCATGCTAGGTGCGGTGGCACGGTTGCTTGGGGCCGTGTTGTGATGGACGGTATCGGATTGTCTTTAGACGGGCTTGCCAGGAAGCCAACGATTTCAATACTGCCTCGAAACTGACCAGGTGCCGTATCGAAGCCTCCTGGAGGCCATGTTGGATCATGATGCCTCCAAAAGCCAGTATATTCAAATGAGTGCAGTCGGGATTTCGATGATTTGGGCTTTGCGAGACACATGTTCTTTGAGCAACTCTGCATTTCTGGGGCCTCATTCGCGGCCCCGTGGGGTCAATCGGTGAGAGGTTGTTGAATGCATTGGGCCCGTGCGGACTGTCCTTCGGCTCTCCGGTTGTGGATGCTGCCGGGCGCAACCTATAATGTTGTTTGGAAGCGATGGTCCTGGGCGATTGCGAGGCCGAGAACACTTGATTCTTAGGCTTACGCCACACCGCCGACCCCTTGTTTATGCCAATCTGGGGGTAGTAGAAGCTGCGAAGGGGTGAAAAGGCGAGTGATATTTGTTTGGTGTCTGTTCGCCGCCACCGCGGATCGCTTCTCGGGGGCCTCTGGAAGCGAGTTTTGGAGCCACTTGGGGGCCGTTTCGGAGCCTCTGGGGTGTTTCTTGGGGGTTCCTTGGGGCGTCTGGGCGGCCTCGTGAGGGCCTCTGGGGGCCTCTTGGGGCACTCTTGGGGCCCCCTGGGGCTCCTGGGGGCAGAAAGCTAGAGTTTCAACATGTTTGGTCGCCCTCTTGGGCCCCTCTTGGTGCCGTCTTGGAGCCCTCTTGGGCCGTCTTGGGGACCTCTTGGGCCGTGTTGGGGCCGTCTTGGGCCGTCTGGAGGCCGTCTTGGGGGCCTCTTGGGCCATCTTGGGGCTGTCTTTGGGGCCTCTTTGGCCGTCGTGGAGCGTCGGGAAGCCGAAAAGGCGGAAAAGCAAAAAACATCGAAAAACACTATGGAAAATCAACAATTTTAGACTCTTGGGGCCCTCTTGGGAGACGGACGTCTTGTCTTGGAGATCTTGGCCCGTCTTGGGGCCATCTTGGGCGTCTTGGAGCGGTCGTTTGGCGTCTCGGGGCCTTCGTGGGCCGTCTTGGAGGCCTCTTGGGGGCTTCTTGGCCCGTCTTGAGGCCCTCTTGGGCCCGGAAAAGCCCCGTGAACCGCTCGTCCCGGCCGTGCTGCGCTCGTGCCGGACCCCCCCCCCCCCTCCAAATCGACCGGACCGGGCTCCCGGGGGAGGGGTTTGGGGAGGGGGAAGCATCTCACACGCCGATGATCCCCAAGGGGTCGGCGGATACATATATATATATATATATATATATATATATATATATATAACAGTATTGGGGTCTCTCATAGGTCTGTGCGGGTTTCGTGTGTAATCCATTTGCTGTTTCTTTTCGGGGCATGTTGGGGGTCTCGGGGAGTCGCGCCAGTTGAAGCTCATCTTGCAATCGTGAATGAGTTGTCGAGACGGTTGGCCGAACAGAAGGTATATCACTGGTTCTTGGGCTAGCAGGGTGAGAAAATTAACGCGGCATCCAGATGTGTACGTCTGTCATATGTCATATGCATTCTTGGTGCAAGAACTCATGGGGGCGCTTGTATTCACAATGATCGGCACAAGAGTATGCGTTCATGTGGGACCGCAAGCAGAAGGAGGATCATGGGCAGGTGAGGTAGGAGGAGGAGGAGGAGGAGGAGGAGGAGGAGGAGGAGGAGGAGGAGGAGGAGGAGGAGGGGGAAGAAAAGGAAGGCGGAACATGGGAGGTGGAGGAGGAGGAGGAGGAGGAGGAGGAGGGAGGAGGGGGAGGGGGATGGGGAGGGGGAAGAGAAGGAAGGCTTCTTTCTGTAGGGAGCGCTGCAGGCAGAACAAATAAACAACTGCGTGCAGAGGCCAAGTGCGACGCCTCGGCGCCGAGCCCAGGAGGAAAGGGAGAAGGAGCAGGCCTTCTCAGAAGGCGGCGGGGCTCCTCAGGAGGAGGAAGAGTTGGAGGAGGACGCGGAGGAGGAGAAGGAGGAGGAGGAGGAGGAGGAGGATCGTCGGCGAGCGAGGGTGGGACGTGAGAAGGAGAAGGCCCTCCCAGAAGGCGGCAGCCAGAAGCCCTCGCGTCCTCTGAGAAGTCTCCCTGCATCCTCGGAGAAGGCTTAGAAGGCTTCCCCGATGGCGACATGAGCCACCGCCGCCTTCTGAGAGGGCCTGCCCCTTCTCACCTTCCTTGGCATCGCTCGGACGTGTGCGTTTTTTTCCTCGGCGAGGACCATCGAGGAGCATCCTTGATCATTTGGCGAAAAAGCCACGCACGAAACCGAGCAAAACACAGGAAATGGACGTCCGAGCGATGGCCAGCCACAGGCTCGCTGGCCAGATCCCTGCGACGGGCGGTGGCGGATCTGCGCCGCGCGGGCGCGGAGGCCGACCCCCAGGCGCGGGGCGCAGAGAGAGAGAGAGAGGGAGGGACGAGGACGACGGCCTCAGAGCGGCAAGTGCTGAGGAGGAGGAGGAGGAGGAGGAGGAGGAGGAGGACGACGACGACGACGACGACGACGACGACCAGCAGCAGGGGGGCGACGACGACGACGAGGAGGGCGGGGACGACGGACGGCAGCGGCCGCGCAAAGTGCAGCCCAGACCGCGCACGTCGGCGCAGCACGGCGCCGCGCAGGCCGCGCAGCCCGCCCCCCTCCACAATTACACAATATGAAAATACTCTCCCACTTCCCCTGATGGCGTCCGGAAGATATTCGGCACCCCCCCGCGTACTGTTTTTTAACACACAGGATTCCCCGGAGTTGGGTTTTCGCTTGTGTTTTTTCTAAAATGCTGCTCTCGCTGAGGCGCCGGCCTCATTTCTGCTCCCGAATCGTTCCGAATCGTGCTCCCGCTCCAGCGTGGGCCTCATTTTCGGATCGGTGTTTGGCCTCCGTCGTTGAGGATGGCGTTCTCGCCCCAGCGCGGGCCTCTTTCTCGCGCGCCCATCCGCCCGCCACCACCGCGCCGCACCGCCACCACCACCACCACCACCACCACCACCACCACCACCACCACCACCACCACCACACCACCACCAGCACCACCACCACCACCACCACCAGCACCACCACCACCACCACCAGCACCACCACCACCACCACCACCACACCACCACCACCACCACCACCACCACCACCACCACCACCACGCACACACGCACGCACGCACGCACGCGCACCACCACCCACTACGCACGCGCGCGCGGAGCCACAGGTCCGCTACGACACGCGTCCGCGGATAGAGAAAATCAGCGCCATGGTAAGGGATGGGAGGGAGGGGTAGGACGTCAGATATGACGCGAGCGCACCTAGCTTGCCCCCCTCCCCCCTCCCCCCTCCCTCCTCCCCCCTCCCCCCTCCCTCCTCCCTTCTCCCTCCTCCCTCCTCCCTCGCCAGGCCGAGGGCCCCCGGCGGCCCCGCGGCGCGAGCAGGTGGCCGCGATCTGCGCCGCCCGCCAGAGCCAGGTGTGGGAGGAGGTGCGCGGCCACCTCTCGAGGCCGGCAGGGGCGGAGGAGGAGGAGGAGGGAGGAGGAGGAGGGGCAGGAGGAGGAGGAGGAGGAGGAGGAGGAGGAGGAGGAGGAGGAGGAGGAGGAGGAGGAGGAGGAGGAGGAGGAAGAGGAGGAGGAGGAGGATCGGCGGCGAGCGAGGGGCGGAAGTGAGACGGAGAAGGCCTTCCCAGAATGCGGCGGACAGAAGCCCTCGCGCCTGCAGAGAAGTTCTTTGCGTCTTCGGGGAAGGCTTCGAACACTTCTCTCGTTCATCCGGGAGACTTCCGAGCCTTCTGAGAAGGCCTTCTCCGTCTTTGTTCTCCCCCTCGCTCGCCGCCGAGAAGAGGAGGAGGAGGAGGAGGAGGAGGAGGAGGAGGATCTAGGCCTCCAGTACTGCGAAGCGGCCCTACTTATTGTCGATTGTCCCTCATACCCTGTCCGTTGATATCATATGCTGATATCGCCTAATTTGTTCGCGCGTTGTTTAAGCCGACCGGCATCACGCATTCATTTTCATCGTGGCACGCTCCAGCTCGGTGGCCGAGCTGATGGGGTCCGAGCTGATAAGGGTCGGAGGTTCGCGCCGCATCGCCGATGCATCGCCGATTCGGCTCGATGTGGAGATCGATTTCCTCCGCGCCGACGGCGCCGATGCATCGGGGATGTATATCGGAGGCTTCTAGTCAGAGCGTGAATTACCTACCCCGCTTTCGCTTCCAGGCAAAACCAAGTCATACCATACGCCTCCTCGTCAAGCGGCCTGACCAGTACATGCCGTAGTTTGGCATCGCTTGGTATCTCTTGGAAGCGAGGGTGGTCAAAAGCGAGGTAGGTTTGTTGGCCCCCTATCCAGAGGAGGGTTCCGTGGGGCGGGCAGCAACAGGGGGGGGCAGTAGCCGCAGGGGGTCGAGGACTGCAGGCCAGGGGCCCCGAGGGGCCCCCTGCACTGCCCCCCCCCCCCAGGGGGGCCCGAGAAGGAGATGGTTTGGGGGGAGCCGTCGAGGAGCAGCAGCAACCGCATAAGCATACTCCAGATTTCGTAAATAAAGGGGAGGGGGTCTGGACCCTCCAGGACAGGCCATTCCAGACCTCCCCCGTGGGAGAACTCTCCAAAACATCGCCCCCAGACCCCCCCAGGCCCTCCAAGATAGCCTGGAAGAGACCCCCCCCCCCCGAAATGAGACCCCCCTCCCTTTACTACGAACTGTGGAGTAAACATACACTGTCGGAGCTCCGCGGGGGCCTCTTGGCCCGGCGCTGGAGAACGCCGCCAGAGGGTGTCCAGCGCCGATCCGGGAAGCCCGCGCGGAGGTCGGGCAGTTCGGTTGCTGCATGTTCTCCCTCTTCCAGCCTCGGCAGTGTGCGGAGGTCCCCTGGAGGTTTCCACAGGCATGCATCCGTCTGTGTTGTTCTCAGCCTCTGACGCTGTGCTCCGGTCAGTACGGGGTCCACCGGACCTCGCGACCCCTCCCCAGATCCCAGATCGCTGCCTATCGGACAGAGAGGGAAACCCTTGGAGGCCGACGGTGGATGATTTTTCTGTTGTCGCATTGAATATCTGCATTATTATGATTCTTGCTACAGTCGAGCTTGATTAGTAGGTCGGCCATGCCAAATCGACGGTACCTTTGTGTTCTGTGTATCCCGATCTATGCAACCCGCATGGCCTTTGATGGTCAGGGGCCACTTGCCGTCGGAAGAGTCTTGTGTCCTCTCGTGTGTCCTCTCCAATCAAGTCCATATATAAGCATCCGCGCAAGGCGCGTCATTGGACTGATTCAGTTGGACGCAGTGGGGGCGGTCAGACGCACGATCTCCACGCTGATTCAGGGAGTTCCGATTGGCCTTCAGACGTAAGCTGAGCCACTCGGGATTCTGATGGTGGTTCTCAAGGGAGGGTCGAAGGCGGCTGCTGTGGAAAAAGCTAGCCCTCCACAATAGGAGTCGATGTGCAAACCATGTTCCTCAGAGTATCGTGATGTTTGTAAAGCCCTCGTCTATATACATATGTACTTCCATATGTTTGTACGAGTATGCTGTTTGTACATATTGTAGTGGCCTCTGGCCAGTGCCGCCGACCCGGGGCGCTTTTGATACAGTGACCGACGTTGAACGGATTATATCGATTTCGAAGGAGGCGGTGCCCACGTGGAGGTTCGATCCTGGATCCTCGAGGATCGAGGTGCGAGGCTCTGACCTCGACTGCCCTCGGGGACCAGCTGTGAGATGAGGGGGGGAGAAGAGGAGGACGAGGAGGAGGAGGACGAGCAGGAGGAGGAGGGGGAGGAGGAGGAAGAGGAGGCTGCTGATGATGGTGATGGTGATGGTGATGGTGATGGTGATGGTGATGGTGATGATGATGATAATGATGATGATGATGATGATGATGATGATGATGATGATGATGATGATGATGATGATGGAGATGATGGTGATGATGGTGATGATGATGGTGATGATGATGGTGATGGTGATGGTGATGGTGATGGTGCTGGTGATGATGATGATGATGATGATGAGGATGATGATGATGCTGAGGATGATGATGATGATGATGATGATGACGATGATGATGATGATGATGATGATGATGATGATGCTGATGCTGATGATGATGATGATGATGATGGTGATGCTGATGACGGTGACGTTTACGATTAGCCGTATACCCTCGAGAAATAAAGTTCGGGCTTCAGGGGGAGATAATCAAAGTAGCCCACCAGACCTCAGCATAACCTCGAAGTAAGAGATGATCAAGAGGAGACCAAGTCGAGCACGTTTTGAGACATCCTTGGCGTGCAGTCTTCAGAGAAATATCCTCAACAATGGCTTATCTCGCTGGAGACATCCTCGACAAATCCCTTGTTTCGCTTGAGACATCCACAAACTATTGCTTATTTCGCTTGAGACACCGTCAAACTATTGCTTATTTCGTTTAAGAAGCGTATCGTTCCGCTTGAATCATCCTTCAGTATATGCTTGTTTCGCTTGAGACATCCTCGGGTATATGCTTGTTTCGCTTGAGACATCTTCGGAATAGCTCATCCGCCTCGGTGTCCCTGGATAATCAACCGCGGCGATAATAAAGTTCAGGCGGGCGGAGGAATGGAGAAAACGATATACAAAAACAAAAATAAAAATAAACAACAATAAATGAAAAAGAAAAAAGGAAACACGGCAAAAAGAAAAGAAACCAGAGGAGGAGGAGAAAGAGAAGGAAAACTCTCAAGTTCAAATGTATTAGATTTTATGTACAAGCGCCTTATGAAAATTAAGTGTTTTAAGTGCTCGCGTACGGTAGCTCATGTGCTTCATCTTCCATGGATAATCCACCCCAGGGATAAAAAAAAAGTTCAGACGGGGGGGGGGGTATGGAGAGAGAGAGAGAGAGAGAAAGAAAGAGAGAGAGAGAGATACATCATACAGAAAAAGAAAGGAAGGACTTAAAGAGAGAATATAGATTTAAAAAGAAAAGTATAATAATAAATGCAAACGGTAAAGAGAAGAGGAAATGAGGATAAAACACAAAAATCTGAAGATTCAAATGTATTAAATTTTATTTACAAGCGCTTTATGAGCATTAAATGTTTTAAGTGCTCGTGTAGGGTAGCTCACGTGCCTCGTTTTCCCTGGATAATCAACACCAGCGATAAACAAGTTCAGGGCGCCAGGGGGAGGAGGAGGAGAAAGAGATATATAGAGACAGAGAGAGAGACAGAGAGGCCAGGAAGGAGAAAGAGATAGAGAGACAGAGAGAGAGAGAAAGAGAGACAGAGAAAGAAAGAAAGAGAGACATACATAACTACAAAGAGACAGAAGGACATTGGTTTCGCTTGAGACATCCTGAAACAACGTGTTCGCGTCGCTTGATGTTGTTATCTCAACATAAGAAGGAAGTAACTTCGATGGCGAACTTTTCCCGTGATAATGAAGTTCGGCCTCCGCGCCCCCGCGCCCCCGACCAAACTCTTATTGGTCGACGATAAAAAACTCTAACGACTTAAGGGGGGGGTAACTTGATTATCATCGGCATCTGGTTATGTTGTGGCCTTCGGCCAATGCCGCCACCGTGCTTGGGTGGTGCCGAAGGGTTCTTCAGTGTTCGCTGGGATCTCGTGGTAGGTCTCTCGGGGGCCTCATGGGTACACTTTTGATGCATCCTGGCGGCCATTGTGGGGACCCTCGGGGCCTCTTTTGGGCCTCGTGGGGGCCTCTTCTGGGCCTCTTGGGTCCTGCTAGGGGCCTCTTGGGACCTCTTGGGGGCCTCTTGGGGGCCCCTTGCGGGCCTCTTGGGGACTTCTGGAGGCCGAGGGCTCGACATTTCCGTTTGGGTTCCCCGTCTGGCTCCCCTCTTGGAGCCGTTTTGAAAGCCTTTGGGGCCGTCCTGTGGGTTTCCTGGGCAGTCTTGGGGCTCTCTTGGGTCGTCTTGGGGCCATTATGACAGCCTCTTAAGCCGTCTGATATTGGTGGCCTCTTGGGCCGTCTTGGAGCGTCGGGAAGCCAAAAAGGAGGGAAGGCCACAATCCTTCCAAAACCATGGTAGAATTCATGATTTCGGCTTCGAAGAGTCCTCTTTTGAGGGTTTTTCCGAGGCTACTTGGAGCGTCTCGGCGGTTTCTTGGGCCGTTTGGCGGTCACCTTCGGCGTCTTGGAGCGCTCTTTGGGCGTCTCGGGGGCTTCTGAGGCCGTCTTGGGGGGTCTTGGGGCCCTCTTGGCCAGTCTTGGGGCCCTCGTGGGCCCGGAAAGGAAAGCGCACCACAATTCGTTCCCCCGCCCCCCTTCCCCCCTTCCCCGACAGAGCCACCCCGGCCCCTCAGCAGAGCTGAAGTTCAGGCTCTAGGCTGCAGGCTGTAGCTGAGACTTTTTCAAACTCACACGCCGGATCGGCGGATTTGTTCTTGTAGTTCTTTGCGCAGGGTTGCGATGGTGGCCTCTTCGCCGTTGTGTGAGTCGTCGCTGCACTTCAGTTGCGACTGGTATTGCATGGCTTGCCTTGTGACGCGTTCAA